CCCATACTGACGAACGATGACCAAGTTAGTAAACTTTGTTTTGATATCATAACAGATGTACTAATACCTTTGTTATTTGGTTTAGTGATCTTCATTGTTATTTTGACTTTCGATATGTCCTTTTAACTTGACCTAAGTAGTCTATTTTCTCACCCCATAACTCTTTGTTATATATATATATATGCTGAGATTTTGTAAAATTCCGGTTTAATAATACTTTGATAAAGCTATTAACAGCAGCATTAAATAGCGAAACGTCAGTAAAAATAAAAATATCGTTTTGTTTTTCATTCATTGGGAAATACAAAAACCTTCATTATAACAAACTTAGTATGTTGCAAAACTCGTATTTCTCATTATTATTATTTGACTATCATTCACCAATAGTACTTTTAAGTTTAAACCACATCACCGTTATCATTGTAACAATCACTGTTGTCGTTATTTTCAACCTTGAACTTATGTCTAGCCTATATATATATATATATATAATAAATATAAAGACACCAACAGCAAAAACCAAGAAAAACACAAAATAATCTTAAATGCGAAGAAAATACCAAGAAGTAGGAAGGAAAATAAACAGCATATAATAATAACCCAGTATATATATATATTATTTTGTGTTTTTCCTGTTTTTTTGTTGCCTTTATAATTATTCTTTTTGAAATACTCCCTTTAAATGTTTGATAAAATTAGATGCAAATATTGTAGATATGTGCTGAAAATTCCACACTGTACCACTAGTACTGTTTCTGGAATAAAGCAAATTATTATTATCATTATATATATATATATACATATATATCATTAAATTATTTCATCTCATTTTGTCCCATGTTCTCATTGACCATGCATATTAAAAGACTAACTGACTATTGTCCCATACCATCTTATACTTGTTCGACAATACACATTTCTGATATGACTCTAATTTGCCTATTTGGCTATTGTATGCTTAAATAATGATTGGATTTATAATTGTACAGCCTGAAGAAGAATTTATTGTAAGCACAATTGGTCGCTCTAACTATTTTGTTCTGAATAAATTATGGGAATACTCAAGTTACATTGAATTGTGTCTGTTTAGTTCGAATGTATTTATGGAATCAAATGCATAGATTGTACAAAAAAGCCACTGTCTACTCACTTAATATACCATTCGATCAAACTGTCGATTAAAGCTGAAGGAAAGACAGCCAAGAGTTCAATAACACGACATTTTCAAGACACTGTCAGGCTGTTCACTGTTATCAATGGATAAAAAACCAGAAAGGTACTTGGAATTGCAAACGCCTGTCTGATTAGCATCTATAAACCAGATATCTGTGCACAACACTAAGTAAAGGTGATCACTTTGACCCTAACATGACAGTTTCCTTCGGATGGCCAATGATGATTATTATTATTATTAAAATCGTTCCTATTGTAATGCGTTTTGCAGTTTTTAATATTTTCATGTTCTCTTTAAAAATGTAAAAATTTTAGTTCCTTTTATGAATTTAGATAAAGCAATAAGGAAGATGTAATTTGTCTGATTCGTGTATTTGCGCAACACATTTCGAACAATCTGATCACACACGGACTTGTCATGGGAATATAAATGAAATTAATAAAGAGTTAAGAGGTGAGAAAATAGACAAATTAGGTCAAGTTGAAAGGAGAACATATTCAAGGTGAAAAGAACAATTGGAGATCACTAAATCAAATAACAGAGGTAATAATGTGATGTGAGCTGACTGCTAGCCAAATTGGTAGACATTAATTTACGTCAATGTTTATATCCCAAATATTGGTCGTGAGAAAAATGAGAACAAAGGCTTTGCGTAGGCAGATACAGTTAGCATATAGATTATCTGACATTCAAGAAACAGCCAAGAAGAGATGAAAGATTAACTTTCAGTGAGAAACAACCAATCAGAAGACTGTTTTTAAGCTAACAATAATCTATAATAATTCATATGAACTGTGATCAAGATTTAACCGGATAGTTGCAAAATAATTGAGCGCTGAGTGAGAAGTAGACATTTTAAAAATTATATTTGTAAAATCTCAGCGAAATTGAAATGATTAATTCCCTGAAGAAGTTCGGACCAGATTGCCGAACGAAACGTTGGAATTATTCACTTCAATTTCGCTGAGACTTTACAAATATAATTTTATAAATCTATAATAATGTACATGGAAATATATAAATATGTGTTGATTTCCTTAGTAAACGATCTGTTGCCTGGCCCCTGTCTTCTGTTGTTGCAATAGTACATCTGCTATGGTATCAAAACAAAATTTACCAAGGAAGGTTTAATGTGATGACGAATTGTTTTTCAACCCATAGAGGTGGTTTGAACTTTCTAATTGCCAGCTAGGGCTTCCACAAACTTTAGGATACACCCCAAACACGTTTTACAGATAGGTTTAAAAGATGTGTTAACGTCAATTTTATGTCCTGTCTCTATAATATGTTTCGCAATAGAGGAGCTAGGTTGTCGCCTGTTCTTACCATTAATGGGTTCTGAAGGTTCCATTTGTTTCAGGAGCCATTTAGGAATATGTTTGGGACGTATCCTAAAGTTTGTGGAAGCCCTAGCTGGCAATTAGAAAGTTAAAACCACCTCTGTGCGTTCAAAAACATTTCGTCATCACATTAAACCTTCCTTGGTAAATTTTGTTTTGATACCATAGCACATGTACTATTACCTCTGTTATTTGGTTTAGTGGTCTTCATTGTTACTTTGACCTTGAATATGTCCTTTCAACTTGACCTAAGTAGTCTATTTTCTCACCTCTTACCTCTTTATTAATTTCATATATATTCCTATGACAAGTCCGTGTGTCACAGATCAGATTGTTCGAAATGTGTTGCGCAAATAAATACATTGAAAGTTTAAGCCACCTTTATGCGCTCAAAAACAATTCGTCATCACATTAAACCTTCCTTGGTAAATTTTGTTTTGATACCATAGCACATGTACTATTACCTCTGTTATTTGGTTTAGTGGTCTTCATTGTTACTTTGACCTTGAATATGTCCTTTCAACTTGACCTAAGTAGTCTATTTTCTCACCTCTTACCTCTTTATTAATTTCATATATATTCCTATGACAAGTCCGTGTGTCACAGATCAGATTGTTCGAAATGTGTTGCGCAAATACATTACACGATTCAGACAAATTACGTCTTCTTATTGCTTTATCTATTTTCATGTTCTCTCTCTGATAACAAATTGTTTATTATGTTAACATAACTCAACTGTTATCCATAATAATCTCTGGTACACTTCCATCCCCTTTACGCCCCTGCCCTTGACTCACCGTCGTTTATTTGTTAGTCATACAGCTATATATATATATATATATATATATATATATATATATATATATATATATATATACATATATATATTACCAGACACCTTGTGGACACGGGTCATTTTGTAGAGATTTCCAAATCCTTCAAAATATGAAGCATTCAAAGGATAGCGAATCTACTATGATTTGCTGAAGCAATTGCAATCAAACGTCTCAGAGCAAACTTATGCATACAGAAAGAGAGTGCAGTCAATCTCTCACTACCTTGGTAACCGCATTTCTTTCATTACACTGATTAGTCATGCGCAATAGTGAGCTCAGCTCACTAAGCAAGTTTTCAGTTTGATGAATCTTAACCTTCTTGAGTTGCCATGTTGACGTACAAGCTAACACTGATTATTAGATTTTTCTGTCTTCTCTCACCTCCTCCCTTTTTTCATATTTTGATAGCATATAAATTGATGGTAACTTAAACTAAAAATTGTAATACTTATATTCCGATGCGTTCATCTTATAATGTTTTCTCTATTACCTTTCAAACATAGAAGTATGAAATGTCATTATTGAAAACCACTGTAATTTCAGGTAGTTTGCAGCAGCTGATGGGAACCTGTGAAATAGAATGATGATATCATTTTATACTGCAAATCTGGTCTTTCTCTATTAAATATATATATATATATATATATATATATATATATATATAATGGATGACTTTATCGTGAGCTGACATCAATTAGAAAACTACTGGGAAACCTGGGAGTGTTGAACAGCTGTTTGGTCCTAGTATGGGACTCTTCAGCAGTACACTTGAAGAAATATATATACATGTTAATTCCTCTACATTCGCAATGGAACATAAGGCCTCAGGCTAGAGCTTTTAAGTCTGGGTAGCAGTACTTACTTTGTAGTGGGATAGGATTGCAGACCCTATGTCCAACCTTCCCTCTTTACCAGTCTTCCTACTGGTTTAGAGAGGTAAATGAGTGCGTCTGTAACCAGGGATTGAACCCCGAACAAGATGCTTGTTTGGTGAGCATCTGCTGATCTGCCGCCGACGCACTTTGGATATATGTATATACATATATAACACCAGAGAAATTTAGCTGAGCAGTTTCACCAAAATTTGATGAATTCATCAAATCCCACTCAACCAAAAAGTTCTTATATGGAAATAAATGTTCCCTACTTCGATTATCACTAACAGCTTCTACTCTCTTGTTGGTCTATACCAACTCCAATACTTGGATTTTTATGATCCATTTATTACTCCCATCTCCTACTTCATTTACGTTCATGTTAGATAACACTCGGGATATCTACTAGAACACCATGAACTGTACAGTTTGACAGGGTCAGTTAAACAAGGTGTAATACTCCGTCGTACAACCAGATACATTACCTCTGAGCTATTCTGATTGAAACTGACCTCTTTTAGGAATGTAATGTATACATTAATTGATCGCTAAGGTGTCATGAATGTTGCTATGCGTCTAGCCCTTATTGTTGAGGAGTGCTAGCAAACACCAAACCTAGCTTCGGGTCTTCTCCCCAATGACCTTTAACAATCCAAGATGGATTCAAGGTGGACCGTGATGGCTGGTCGCCCAAATTGGTGTGACTGTTAACTGCCATCATCTCAGACATGTCTTTAAATTTCCTGATAAGCATTCAAAAGTTGGAAAGAAAACTATTAACTGCATGAAGTATTTTTAGTACATATGCAATAATAATAACAATTACATATACACATATATAGCAACCAAAGCAACAGTATCGATGAGCTTTTGTTTGAGCAATAATAATTCAAAAATCAGCCAACCGCCAAAGTTAAACATTAACAAATCTAAGTATTACATAGCTCACGTGTAAGATATTCAGGGTTTATAGATACATTTTGTGCTTCAATGAAACATAATTAATTAACTAAATGATTAATCACAAAACTCTTTGAGGAGTGAATAATTTCCATTCTCCTTTTTTATTTTTGATCAGAATTTCAGGTTAACACAGAAACCAACGAGATTCATCATGTCCCGAGTGCTGGTCACTCACTCACTCTGCTACAATTACTTCAGTCCGTTGAATACACTGGGATCCGAATAAATTGAGAATAGCTACTTGAAATGCAAAGACAATGCCAAGTGTACACGTGAAAGAGGAATACTGGCGATCCAACTGGGTAGAGTATATCAAGATAGCAGAAAATATGCTGACTAGACCAATGATCAAGGATACCAGTCGAGTTGTAGCATATGTTGGATTATAGTCTAACGATGATGAACACACAGTGATTGTATCAAGCACAAAGGCTATCATTAAAAAGCCGGAACCAATACAGAATAATAATATCAATAGAGTGGAAACAGTTTGATAATGTTTCAAGCATGAAGTAAATAATCCACCGCAATACCATTGATCTAATGCTAGCGCTGAGATGATAAATGCCAGGCTAAAGGAGTGTAGAATCAATGACAATGTTTTAGTATGCATGCTTTCTTCATATGTATTTGACAATATATTCGTTAAAATCAACCTGTCATAAATCTGTATAATTCGACTCTACTGGCTTTATTCACCAGCCAAATTCCTTATGTACATTCACAGTAAGGTTACTTTTTCCAGACCGAAAACGTAGTAACTGAAGTATGTAAGTTGAACGAGTGGTGAACAAATACCACCTAACTGACCTTGAATGTGTCTTCTTTGTCACTGTGATTGGACAAAAAGTGAGAATTAAAAGCCTATTGGATGACTAGATTTTTTATAGTTGACATGTCCATGCTTACAAATACGGAGTAGAAAGTTCTTATTTGTTGATATTAGTGACTTGCTTCATATAACGTGTCTGTCGCTCTATAATATAGCCTATTTATTATTATTATTATTTGGCATGACTATAAGTTATACATTCAGACCATAGACATTACGATTTCGCTAGAATAATTTGAGCGACGAATTACTGTTATTACTGTAAATCCAGCATGCTCAGAAAATAATAATAATAAGTTGCTTTATTCCAGAAACAGTACTAGTGGTACAGTGTGGAATTTTCAGCACATATCTACAATATTTGCATCTAATTTTACCAAACATTTAAAAGGAGTATTTCAAAAAAAAATATATAAAGACACCAACAGGAAAAACAAAATAATTCTTAAAAAATGCGAAAAAAATACCAAGAAGTAGAAGGGAAAATAAACAGCATTTAATAATAACTCAGGATTGGGTAGTGGAAGCTATGATATGATTATGCATGGTGACAGTAAAGCTATAGTCATACAAGAATTTATGAAGTGATACTTAAGAATGTTTATCCCCAAGATGATCAGTTAATTTGGTTGAACAACACTAAACAATCACAAAATAACATTTCAGGGTTTTTTATTGTCAGGTCTAATGCAGTGTTTATAGTGGTAGTGTGAGTATATATATATATATATATATATATAATATTTTTCCTTCACGTTCCCAGTGGAACATAGGGCTTCAAGCGAGTGGCTTGAAGTTTCTGTAGCAGTGTTTATTTTTACAGGATGGGGTTGCTAGCCTCATGCCCAACCTTTCCTCTTTACCAGCCTTAGTTCTGGCTTAGCGAAGTAAAGGAGTGCGTCGGCCGGGGATCGAAACCCGGACCATGTGCATGGTCGACGAGCGTTCTAACCTCTATGAGTAGTCCTGCATAATACAAAATTTTAAGGTGGTGATAATAGCGTTCACAACCAAGATTGTCAGTTAATATTGCCGAACAAAAAAAAAAAACAAAAAAACAAAACAGCAACCACAAAAACTAATAATTACATGATGGTTAATGACAGGAAAATTTTGTAATACTCATAGTGCTTATATAGTCGGAACCAGTAGATACACAAAAGAAGGAATACAGTAAAGTACAAAAGCAAGCCAGTGTAAATAATTTAGGTAGCTAAATGTGTTTAAGAAGGAGTTCACTATAGAATACAAAATAAGAGAGAAATAAAAGAGCCTAAAATTACGTTGTTAACAACAAATCAATTCATAGGTTTCACGCTTAACATTGTCTCTGTCACTTAGAACACGGGCCAAGTATGGTATCGTTGAGTTCCTGTACTTGGTTGTATGAGCATAAATTATTTTATACTGATTTCTGGTTCTACTTGATGAGATACAAGGCGAGAATTGGGAACAGAGGGAGTGTTGGGGGTTGGAGAGTATGGTTTTAGACCATTTTTCGCATGTATTCAGATGCCTTTGAACTAATGTAGTGACGAGCTGACTGAGTTTTACACCACTAGTCCTACTAACTACCTTCAAAACAAGATTTTACCTGAATGTTTCTCTGTGTGATCCACAACTTCTCAAGAAGCAGCAGAATTATTCGGAATTTATTGACCATTATAACATATATAGTACGTAAAGTGAACGCCTTTGAATGGTACTTATCGGTGGATAGTTGTACCAATAGAAAAGTGCAAACAGTCATCACATATTTGTAATCAGTTAATGTCAAATTGTCATATATACACATTTGTCTGCCTTTGTGTGCATGTACGTGGTTTTGTTGTATAGATAACACTAAAGTTGATACGTGAAAGTGATGATAATATTTTCCAAAGGTCAAAACATAAGACCGAATAAATATTTTATCTGTCTGCCATGTGTGCGTGACAAGTCTATCACTTCTGTCATACTGATTGCATTCGATACAGTTAAAGCCTTTCTTTAACTGAATGCAAGTGTTTTCATAGTATTTCGACATAGTCAAAACCGAGATTATGTCCACTGTCTATAGCATACCTTGGTATAGCCGATCTTTCTTTCTGCTAAACTCTTTAATTCTACCTCATTATTTTTGGTGGATGCTTCGTACAGAGTTTGTGTTCCTTAACTCTAAACTTCACTACTCTACTGCCTCCCAACCATGTAGCAAGTCTCATATTTTGAAAATTTTATCGTATAAACCTAGCACGATGGTAATATTTTAAATTTAACAGATAGAATTCAGTCTGCACCTAAGATAGGACTAGACCCACTACACTGGTTACCGAGTAGTGTCAGATCTAAAATATCCAATGCAGTACTACAGGAGGTCAGTGGCGAGTCTGAAGAACTCAGTGGTAAAGTCTCTGACTGCTGGTAGCACTGGGTGAGGCAGGTTCGAATCTAAGAAGGGACTTCAGTTCCTTCGAGGTTGCAGAAACGCCTTGCTGACTGACTGTTGAGTGCCAACTAGCACGAAAGCTAGGTCAAGCAAGGCTTCCTGTGGCCCATTTCCTACAACCATCTGATGCAGATGTTTCGTATCACTTTAGCAAATATATCTTCGACAGTTAATGAAAAAATTTTCTGAAAAATTATTATTATATTATTTATTATTGTTCCTCCGGATTCCTAGTGGAACATAGGGCTTCAACTGCACGTCTCCACTTGCTTCTGTCTTCTGCTGTACTTTTCACCTGTCTCCATGTTAATCCATACTGTTTCAACTCTTCTTCACACCATCTCCTCCATGTCACCCATGCACCGACGACCGACTCGCCGCTTCCCTTTCGGGTTCCACTCGAGTGATGGCCTGACGCGCGATGTCACCCAGCGGCCTCCTCAGCGAGTGTCCAATCCATCTATCTCCACTTTCTCCTGCATATTTGTTGGGCGATTGGTTCTTGTTTTGTTTCTTCCCATAGTTTCTTGTTGGTGATTGTTTCCGGCCATCTGATCTTCAGTATAGAGCGAAGACAGTTGTTGATAAAGGTCTGCAACAGGCTGTTGGAAATATTGTTTGTGACCCGTCAAGTTTCTGATCCGTATAGAAGAACTGACTGACTTGACGTTTGTATTGAAAATCCGAAATTTTTTGTTGATGCTGAGTTGAGTGACGAAGATTTCCAGATTGGTTTCAGGTTGATGAATGTGTCTCTCGCCTTCCCGATTCTCGATTTGACACCCTCGTCGGTTCCTCTTGCAGTTGAGACATTGCTCCCTAGATAAGTGAATGAAGTAACCTCTTTCAAATCCTACGAGTCGATGGTGATTGGCTCTGGATGTTGCTGTTGTTGTTGTTGTTGGTTGATTGGTTATTTTCATAACCTCGGTCTTGTCTATGTTCACCTGGAGTCGTGTCTTCTCTGGCTGCTTCTTCGACCAGTTTGTCGGTTTTCGCTTGTAAGTCATCGATTTTGTTTGAAATCAGACATAAGTCATCCACGCGCGAAATCCAGGTCTTCTAGGTTCTTCACGTCAGTCCAGGATCTCCCTGTCTTCTCGTTTCCCACTGTCTGACGCATAATCCAGTCCAGTCCACCACAATTAGGAATATCATTGGTGATAATAAGCACCCTTGTCTGACTCCTGTGTTCACTTTAAACGCCTCACTGAGTTTTCCGTTGTGGATCACTTGACATGTGCCGTTGTCGTACAGCTGTTGAATAAGGTTGATGAATATTTGGGGAACGCCGTAGTACTCGAGTAGTTTCCAAACTACTTCGCGGTCAGCGCTGTCGAACTTCTTCTCAAAGTCTACAAAGTTGAGGTAGAGGTTTGATTGCCATTCCATGCTTTGTTCAATGATGATACGAAGAGTTGCAATTTGGTCAGAACATGATTTGCCTTTCCTGAATCCAGCTTGTTCTGGTCGGAGTTCTGTATCCAGTGTGTCCTTTATTCTCTCACCAGGATGATGCGACTCAGGATTTTACTTGGCGTCGACAGGAGCATGATTCCTCGCCAGTTCTTGCAGAGTCCTAAGTCGCTCTTCTTTGTTAGTTTCACGAGGTAACCTTTCCTCCAGTCAGTAGGCACCTTTCCCTCCTTCCAGACCTTTCGCAATAATGGAGTCAGCATATCTGCTGTCGTCTCTGGGTCCACTTTCAGTGCTTCAGGGGGTATTCCACCTGGTCCAGCTGCTTTTTCAGCTTTCAGAAGCTTGATTGCATTCAAGACTTCAGCTTTCGTTGGAGGATTGGTGTCAACTTGCAGTTGTGTACGCGCTGTTATTGGTATTTCTGGACGGGCTGCAGGTGGTGGAGGACTTGAAATATTCCTCAACAGTTTATGAAGCAAGTACTCTTTGAAGTTGTCCAACTGTAGCCATTCGATATAGAAATGCTGTCGTCAACACCCAAGGGCTTTCAGTCTTTTTTGTCTTCTTACCCCTTCTTTTGATAATGTTATTTAGCAGCTTTTCTGACAGACACTTCCAATCAAAGTTTGTTTTATATTGGTGATGTCTTTTTCCGCATTATCGTTATCTGTTGTACTGTTTCTAAGTCTGTTTGTGAGATGTCAAGCTACTGAAACTCTCATTCTTTCTGAAAGATCCTACTGGAAATTCAAATATTTATTTAAATGTTTCGGTTTTATGTTGCAAACTTCAGTTTTCTGTCAGTTTGTCTTTTAACAAGACAATACAGAAAGTTTATGGTTCCCTGATACGATTCAACTACATTTGTAAACTTTATTTATTCTGAAATTGAGGTAATCCGTTCTACAAAGTTTCTTTTTTCAGCTTTCCCAAAAATGATAAATGTGTCATGTACATATCTATACCATTCTCTACGATGACAATTAAAACTTATAAGTGCTTTTCTTTTTAGGCCATTCATATAAAGATTTGCTACAATTGGAGATTCTGGTGATCCCATTGCAACTCCATTTTTCTGATAGTATAGTTTGTCATTCAAGGTAAAAAAAGTAGTTTTTAAATGAATTTTTACTCATCTGAT